AAGAAAAGAAAGAAAGAAAAAAGAATCATGAAAAATTTTAATTATTTTACAGATAATTTAGCATTAATTTATCAAGAGATAGAGCAGAAAACCAGTGAAATAAGTTTGTCGATAGTTGGTAACAGAAAATTCTGTAATACCGAGAATATACTGCCTTACCGACTTACTCGATTTACCATGCAAGCAAGGATATCGCGCGATTAATTCTAACTTTATTCACAATTTATTTCAAAATAAATATGCATTTTCATATGGGAAATTCAAGTAATATAATTGATTAACAAATGTGCTGAAATTTTATGATGACAAAAAATCTGTATATATCTTTTTGATTAATTGACCCAAGACAGATCTAAGAAACACGATTCTAAGATAGTTTGATCGTTTCAAAGAATATGAACTTGCTCGCTTGAATACTAATATCCCATGAAAAAGATTCTATCGCATCGTTTCATTTTAAGATTACAGAACACGAACAGTAACGTATTAAGCATCTCGTTACTTATAATTATTCTAAGAGAAAACATGTTTGCTACGAAGAAGGCCATCATCACTCTAATTTCTTTTATTTTTTTTCCCTTTATACAAATATTGTGTAAAATTTTTCTACTAAATTTATTCCTATTTATAATTGTTTATATATTTCCAATCTGATTTTTCCATTTAAGTATTCCTCCCTCGATAAAATATTCTTTTGAAAATTTTCTCAAATCTTCAAAAACAGATACACACAAATGGAAATGCATTTCAATAATCAACTTACGATCGTTTTCAAGATCGAAATCCGTAACGTGTATAATATCTAATTTAAATTGACTTAATCCAACGTATAATTTAAAATTTTATATGCACCAAAAATAATAAAAAACAATTTCTACCAATGCTCAAGCGACTAAATTATTATATCCCCGTTATATTGCATTCACATCAGGAGGAAACACGTTTGATTAAGCATTGTTGCGTATACATGAGAATCGCATTTGCATCCTCTCGTATTGCATTACATACGATTCGCAACACGCAGCGTTTACAACTAGACCCTTCTTCCATTCGAGAAACGTCGTTAATCACGAATCTCGCTTGATGTACACGAATAGATGAGAATACAAGACCGTCATGGCTGTTCTTCCCCACGCACGATTTCGTTCCTCGCGTTATCTCGCGTAAAATCGAAAAGGATTTGCTTTCGACACGATGCAACGTGACAAGATCAGGGGGTCTCCGCTTAATCGCCAATCTCGAACCAGCACTCCTCCCAATCACGGAGGCGCGCGTTATCGCGCCGATCTTCCTATCCAACGCTCACTCACGATCGTCAACCCCTTTTTGAAACACTATTATTCCCCCGAGAGGAAATTTTTCTTGGCGCGCAGTCGATAGCTTCTGAGAATCATCATTAAAAAAAAAAAAAAAAAAGAATGTACTCGAATCAATTATCGAACGACGAACTAAATTGCTTGGCGTTCTTAATTGCGCCACGTTCGACACATTTTTTTTTTTTTTTGATGAAGATTTTGTCACCACGTTTTTCGAAAGAATTTTTTAAAAGAGCAAATGAAATTTAATTTTGATAAAATTAATGGATAATATTAGATTTTAAAGAATCTGTATGCTTTTATCAAACTTTGCGAGGATATTTTGTTAAAATATTCTTTATTATAAAAGTCTTGGAATATTTATTTTGAAAATTTGAAAAAATTGATCTGATATTAGTCAGTTAGAATTGATTTGTGATATTAACATATTCATAATTTTATTTTATTAAAAAAATATATAAAGGAAAAAATAAAAATATGAGATACTTTTTTATTGTATTTTGTATTGAAAAAATCTAAGAGACAACTGAATGAAAAATCAAACAAATGACTGAGAAAATTTTATATGAAATACGACATATAAATATAAATGCTATAAATAATTTAAAAAAACTATAAATTTTTTATCCTTTTAAGAAAATATTAAGTATTAAATTCACAATTCATTTTAGTTTTTTAGATCTTGAAATCTAATTTCTTATTTATTCATAAATTTCAATCATTTTTCATTACTAACTTGTCATTTTACTTTTTATCATTATATGTACTATAATCTAAAAACACAATATATATTTCGTCTAAATTAATAAAATTAATAAATACATATTCTCGTCTAAATTAATAAAATTATTCTAGAATAATTTTCTTTTATTTCATTGAAAATGATAATATAAAACAAAATAAATTTCTTTAATATATACAAAATCTTCTTATAGCAAAAGAGGAAACATTAACAAACAATTCTAATAATGCGAAAAGTCGTCGTAATATTCATTTTACTTTGTCTTGAATTTTTTCCTTATTTTAACAAACAAAAACATTTTAAACATCTTCAAGAAAACCATAAAATCACGGTATAAAATTAAAATTAAATATAAATGAAAATAAATATACCAATAATTATTATTCTTTCTATTACTTATATATTTAAAATATTATATTTCAATGAAATACTAAAAGAATACATTTGAATGAAAAAAAAAAAAAAAAAAAAAATCTTGAATAATATTAAATTTTAATCACTGTTTTAACGATTTCATTATTGTCTATAAATTACTATATCTATAAATTAATGTCTCATATTTCTATCATTATCTCTTCTATTCAATTAAACTTCACAATTTATATTATCTTTTATTAAAAAAATATTAAAACACGTTTTAATATAATAATATAATAAAAATAACTGGCTAGTTGTCTGCAAACTATAATCATATCGTTATAACACGCAGCTTTATTAACGTGTCGAATTTCATAAAATATCTATGAATATCAGAGATCTTTTTTCATATACGTAATATTATTTTCGCGAGACCACAAATGGTGGTCGGTCACAAGTGATAGTCGTGACAGGGAATGTGTTAATCGATTTTTTATTATCATTGTGAATATAGAAGTGTGTATGCTCGTTTCATTCACAGTTAATCGTTCCCCGGGTTATGAGATTTTCGCAATGTCGAAGAGGTTCGACCGAGTGTCGATTCGCGTAATAAAACGCACAAGGCTATTCTCCTTCCAATCGATATGGAAATTTGTTGCGTATCGATGACAAACTTCGTTGAAAAAACATTGGTGCACATACCTTTCAATTACGCGAGAACAATACGATTCGACGAATAAAGTCGACAATTTTTCGTTGGATTAAACCGATCATTCAACCACGTGCAAAAATATTATTCAAATGGGTTTCAAAACTAAGAGTTAATAATTAGAATGAGATTGAAACATTTTTCTACTTTGAAAGACAATATATTGTTTAAATATTGCAAGTAAATGGTAATTCTAACGAATCTATATTATATATAGTTTGTTTAATGAATTTTAGTAAATTTGAAATTTGGTTAAGTTAGATTAGTTCTATACGATAATTTCTCTCTGTAATATTTTCATTACGAGTTATGGTTATAAAAAGATTTCACTCGTAATAAAGTGTTAAATGATTTTTCTTATCGATAAAAAAAAGGAAAATCAAAGAAAGAGAGAGGGGAGAGAGAAATTAATTTAAAGAAAATGATCGATATGTATTAAAGCTTCTCTTAACGTGTAATTTAATCCTGTAACGAGTTCCATCCAAACAGATTGGATAGGAATCAATTATTTTCTGATCTACACAACCGTTGGCTTTAATTAGGAGAAATTAAAGTGATACCAATCCAACATTCGCTGCCGGCTAACAGACCAACCGAATAAAATCCACTGATCCAGAATAGGCAAAGGGAACCGGTTCCATCGGTTACCAAAGTTGGTCAACCACATCGATTTATAACCGTTCTTATCGATCTTCTCGTGTTTCCATCACTCGTGTCACGATAACCGATCGAATTTTTGTGTCTTATTTTTCATGACTAAGCACAATTCAAATGTACGATTACGATTATACTCGTATTGATATTATGAATTTACGACCAATCATATAACTTTCAAATTAAAACGACAGAAATTGATTAAAACGCATTATTTATAATGCATTTACGTAAAGAAAAATTAACGCGTTCAAATTTAATTTATATTCAACCGGATATATAGGTATGCATAAATTTTGCTATCTATCGCAGAATGAAAGGTGAGAGACAAGTCACGTTGCGTTGAGCCAAGTCATCATCTACTTCCGATACTGGTTATATCTAACGGTTGTCTAGCGATCTAGATTCGTCCAGGACGAGGTTATGTTTTCCTCGTTTTGTATTTCAACGCATGCTTCGAGCTGCTTTAGCTAAACGATTATCCTACTATGGAACGAGAATTAAGATAATGGAGAATGAGAGAAAGGCGAAAAAGCGGAAAAGCAAAAAAAGTTTGCCTGTGAGTTTGCGAGCAATGGAGAAAGAGAATTGTAAAAGAGGAGAGAAGAAAGGCATAGAAAGGGTGTGTAAGAGAAAGAGAGAGAGAGTGGAAAAGTAGGACTGCCAGAAAACTGATTTTCTCATGAAATGTGTGCATATCGAATAAATACGCGATGTTTATTTCGAACGGAATCGAATGGAAGAGCTAAAACTGCATAGCTAGATAACGAAATAATTCAAAAAAGCAAAACCGACGTTGAGATATTAAAATCATTGATTGCGAAATATTACAAAAATATACAGATAAACAAAAATTGTTCCGATAATCGGATATTTCACTGAGCATTCGAAGATTTCGATTGCTCGTCTTTCGGTTATTTTCGGCTAACATCGGCATATTAGCCGAAAGTTACCGAAGGCGAAGTTTACCGATGTTAGCCGAAAATAACCGAAAGACGATCATCTTTTGCATCGAGATTGTATACGACTATACGTAACTTTTATTTCTTGCAATACTTGCAATACTACGAGTATTTGATTATTTGGTCATCTTGAATATTCAGTTTAAAATAAGAATCCTATAAAATACAAAAGTAGCTATCGACGGTCCGCAGCCCTTTCCGATTGCCTTTCTCTCTTTACCTGGTCATTGATCAGAGAGTTTCGGTAATTAGGGACTCACGAGAGACAATATACCGGGTCCCGGTCACCGTCGCTCCGTTGTTCGTGCTCGCACCTGGTGGTCCAACGTCGGTTCACCAGGACCGGCGACCAGGATTCGTACCTGCATCCTTGAAAAAAAGAGAGACGGAACAGGGGTTCTCGGGTGAAAAGGCTCGTGCTCGGTCTCGTGTGTAGCCCGGCTCGTTGTTGCTCTGCGCCTTTGTCTCTCTAACTCATTTTCCCCTCTTTCCTCTGATCCTCTTCTCCGAGAAGAGTCGTGGAAAGCCTGCGAAAATCGTCGATGCTTGTTTTCGTTCCGAAAGAAAGTGATACAGACTCGAGAAATTAGGAATAGATTGGGAAAATGGTGATTAAGGATAGGTGGAAGAATATGGGAGACTATGAAGGGGGGGGGGGGAGGAGGAGGATCAGCGATACACATGATCGGGCTTAAAGGAGACAAATATCGGTCGAGAGAAGGGTATTTCGTCATTTTAAACTCTCGTTCTGACTTATTACACGATCTCTCGAACCGTTTGAGAATACAGCAAGATCGTTCGACTGCTCGTGTAAAAACTAATAATTATACCTTCTAAACCAGGGAATCGGGAAATGTATTGCTCGATCTTAGCGATCTTAACAATGGTGGTTATCTATGATTATCGGTGGCACGACAATATACAATTTATAAGACAAACATTCCTTTGGCGTTTGGAGAGCGGTGTTAGAAAAAATAGGGATGAGTGATAAAAATCTAACAACGAGTAATAAATAACAATATATTAATGTACATCGATATATAGATAGATAATACTAAGACACTACTCGATATATATATATGACACTGAATTAATGAAATCGAAAGAAAGAAGGAAAGAAAAAGTGAGGAAGAAAAAAAATAAATAAATAAACAATTACTCTAATTTATATATATGTATACATATGTACAAAGTGTTAATACATTCGTGAGATATTTTTAATAGATCAATTCTAAAAGATTAAAGTAAAAATGAAAGTTGGTATACAAAAATATTGGTTAAGTTATTAAGTTTACTTATCGAGTTATAAGCGACTGTGAAATTTCCATTAGATAAAGCGAGACCTCTCTCTCTCTCTCTCTCTCTCTCTCTCTCTCTCTCTCTCTCTCTCTCTCTCTCGCTTGCTCGCTTTATCTAAGCCTCAACCGATATTTTTATATGCTAATTTTTGAATTTCTTTTTTTTACCTTCAGAATTGATTTTCTATTCCACGAATATATTAATACCTAATACATATGTATTTTACATATACATATATGTATGTATGTATATATATATATATATATATATATATATATAGAAGCGACAAAATGTTTTCTATGACAAATCTGCCGCATTACCAGATATGTATAAATAATATGTCGTCGCACTAAATTACGAATAAAGGATTCTCGCAGGTTAAAACGAATATTTCAACTACAAGCGATATTTATATATATATATATATGTGTGTAAAAATATATATTATTACATATATATTATATATATATATATATATATTTATGTATGTACGATCTACAAACAGTGATTGTAAACCGAAGCTTGTGATCGTTAGATGGCTGTTACTATGCACAAATAAACGCATTTTTGCATCTATGTCGATCGCTATGATTAATTTGCAACGCCAGCAACCCCCATTACAAACTAACCTATTTTCTAACCTATGAGGAAAGAGGGTACACACACTATCGAGACGGGGATCAATTAATCATTTTTTTTCTAAACACAAGCCCACAAGTAAATTTTAAAAGACGATACACATGTGTATACATGTATATCTCAGAGGAGAAACAATTTCATTTCATTAACCTTTGTGCCAATATTTGAATTTCTATTTATTTTTGTATATTCATCATTTGAAATTTTTATTCACCAGATTACTTTGCTTATCATTTTTAACAAAAAATTACTCGAATATAAAATATAATCAGAATTTTTTGTTTATTGGCAGAAGGGTTAAAAGGATATTTTAATGAAAAATCTTTTTAAAAAAATAAATTATTATTTGATATTTTCTTATATTATGTGCAACGGGATTATTTCTTAAATAATTATGTTTGAAAGTTTTACGACAATTATTTTTATTCAAACAAGTGCACGCTTATTTCAATTCAATTTTGCTTGCAAAATTTTTTTTATAAAAAAGTTCACAAAAAATCCTAAAAAAAAAAAACATTTTATATCAGAATATTTAGTTAAACGTGCTTAAGTAAGACACATGGATTATAATATTTAAACAATATCAATATTCTTTTCCACATGTCTAAATAACTGATTTGCATGTACAATTTTTACAAATATTTAACCGCAAATATTTAATAAATATTTCACATTTGTTAATAGATGAACAAATAAAAATTCAAAAAAATTCAAAGATCAAGTGTTTCGTAAATAAATATTTCAATAATAAAAATACTATGAATAAATGTGAATGATAAATAATGCAGATGACTAGAAATGTTTATATAATTTTTTGAATTTAATAACCGATATTTTGGCACGTTTCTCGAATGTTTTCAATTTTTTCATTCATTCACTTTTTATAAATAAAAAGATTTTAAATATCTTCAGAGAAAATCATAATACAAAATTAAGAAACTAAATACGTGAATAACGATTCTCATCGATATATATCTCATTTATTAATTATCAAAATTATATACAAAATCAAAAAAAAAAAAACCTGATGGATACAATAAGATTAAATCATATTAAAGTATCTTCCATATCTACTATCATAGCTGGTAATCATGTTTTTCTCCAGTGTATCAGAACTAATTAGAAATAATTAGACAAAATTCGCACCATAGCAGAATGGATTTCTATGATTAATACAAAATTCAATTTTCGTTAAATTCATATTTTCGTCGGACGAGTTGGTACGCGAACGAGTCAAAAAGCAAAGAAAAAGGGGAGGGGGGAGGGGAAACGAGAGAAAAACGAGGGACCCAAGAGGCTTCTGGATGACCCTGTTGCTTCAAGGTTGAGAGGACTGCCTCGAGAAAGGCACAAGAGAGCTCGGTGATGTCTCTCGAAAACGGACCATCTTGTGTACAGTGGCGACTAAAGAGAGAGAGAGAGAAAGAGAGAGAGAGAGAGAGAGAGAGAGAGAGAGAGAGAGAGAGAGAGAGAAATTCAAGAAAAAAGAAGAAAAGAAAAGAAAGAAGTGACGTTAAGTCAGATTAAGGAAGAGGGGGTTGTTGTTCACGATCTCGAGGATGCAAAGTTCTAGCCTAGAATTCGTTCACTGATTTACGCGCAAAAGTATGGATTTTGAGAGAAGAGCGTAAAGGTTAGATAAGCGACCTATAAAATCGCTTCCCCGCGAAATCAAGGCCGGTCGAATCATCAACCACCCCTTTTCCGCGTCTTCTCCTCTTCCGGCCTTTTCTCTCCTGCCGTTTTCTCGATGAATCGAGGATATCGAACAATGCGCGTTGGAAACCTACGCTTTCTCGGCCCACGTTGATCGTACCGTGGGTGTAGCAAAGATGCAGCTCCATTAAACGTAGCCGAATAACAACGAGAGAAAAGAGGAGGATCTCTTCGGTTTGACTTTTTTCTGTTGGGATCGTATTATAATATCGTTACTAATGAATTGTGGAGAAATTGGAAGTGGAATAGAATGGTTAAAAATCTATTGTCTTCTAATAGATAATTTTGATTGGTTTGAACAATAATAATAGTAAGTGAAAAACGTTAATATTATCTTTGGTATTTTTGGTTAATATTATCTTTTGGTATTTTTATTTCAATGGATAAGAAATATAAGCAATAATTTTGATGAAAGATATTGGGTGATTTGAAGGCGTAATTGGAATATATTTTGTTTTTTAATAATAAATGAATAAAGAACAACGTAAAAATTAATTTAATTTTTTTGAATAAATTAATGAAATTCAATATTTAATTTTCTGTGGCGAAATAATATTAAAAAAATCCATGTGTAAGTTCTTTTTATTCGAATTTTATAAAACAACAAATACCTGTTTGCGTTTCATATTTTTTGTATATTTAATAAGTTTGTATAATAAATAATACATGATTCTACTTAAGAAAAACTTTTATACATCTTCTATGCATCAATCAATCAAAAAATCACGTTAAATTTCTTTCGAAACAATTTTTAATTTTTATCCTATATAATTATACAATGATCAAAATGGTTATTTACTTTTTCTGCATATATCGAATAATTACACAAGCATATGCGAGAAAATTGAATCATTGTTTTCGAACGAGAGAGAGAGAGAGAGAGAGAGAGAGAGAGAGAGAGAGAGAGAGAGAGAGAGAGCGAAGAAAATTTGTAATAATAATTATCGGAACGAATGCTAATATTATACCGTATTGCATAATTAATCAATTAATTAATTGAAATGGATAATTAATTAATCAATTGTTCAGCATAAATTTGATCGTTTGAAGCATAAACGAACCAATTACGAAATCGTTAGTTTCGAACGTATATTTAAACGTGTATTAGAACCCGTTTAATATTAAAGATGGAAAAATTTTCAATACACGTGGCAATACAAAATACGTTTTACCAATTACTTCAATCGATCTGTACAAGAAAATTCAATCACAATCACGTCTTCCTCGTGATTTGACTAAGAAAACGTATTTCCCTCTGTCGTGAATTAACGAGCATGCGTTTCGTTGCATTCGTCCTCTTAACGAGTTTCTGCACGTGTAACGAATTAACGAAGCAACCTTTCATCCCAATACCGATTTCCTGCAGTGTTACATCAGATTCCTTTTTGTTATATCGAATTGTAGTTATATATAATCACAGTTTCGAATTTGATAATTTATTTAGGGAAGTTATAGCTAAATAGTGTATAGTATAATAGCAAATAGTTGCAACAGTTTCATAAATAAAAGATGCATAAGTATGTTCGAAAGAGTGTTCATTAATTTAATACGATATTTTAAACGTTTGGAAAATGTATTTTAAGAATGGTAATATTTTTTTTTTCTTCATCTCAGTAATAAATAGAATTAATTTGACTAATAAAAAAAAATTGGGACATTTTTCGACCCATTTTCTATTTTATTTCGAAAGGATTAATATTTTCCTATTACCAACGCTTGAAAATCAAAAAAACGTCAATTCGCGTTTGCCATCGGCAACGCTTGAAAAAAATAAAAAAAAATATTGTCTGCCATCGGCAATGTTTGAAAAATTCGAAGAACATCGATTTAAATCTCTCAACGTCAAAGTGTTAACTGTGCATTATAAAACGTG